CCAGGAGCCCCTAGTAGCGTCCTTGCTCCTAGTAGTAAGGCCAGGAGACCTGTTGGAAAGCAAAGATCTGGGCCATGTTTCGGTATGATCTGCTCAATTGTCTTCCCACACTTTGTAGAAGCTGTATGGTGCCTGGTGTTCGCTCTGATTCTCCACATGTACCTGAAAGGTAATCAACAAGTTTTGCTGTAAACTCTGATATTCATTGAGCCAGGGGTCAACGACTTGTTCTTTGCTGATACACGTCTTCTTCTACGTTCATGTAGAATGGCTGAAACCAGTGCAATCAGTGCTAAATCACTGGAGTTGACTGAGGTAAGCAAAACGCACCATGAAATCAACAAATCCATGTTGCACTTGTCGGCAGTGAGCACTGAGTCCCTTCAAACAGGTTGTTTGCCATCTCCAAAGGAAGAGCTGGAAGAAAGAATGAAAGTCAACCATATATGGACCAAATAATTATCAGCTGCCAGGTTGTGGACCAACCCAACATGCAACCACTACAAACAAGAGATTTGACTGTACAAATGACAAGGAGAACTAGTGCAGTGTTCTGTTAATATTAGTGCCTGGAGCCTGGAGCCCTCCTCTTCAGTTCAACTAAGAACATGGCTCGATTGCCTCCCTCAAGTACAGTCATGTTGGTGTCGTTGAGTGTCTCATTCTCGGCCTCAATTCAATCGGTGCAGTCAATGGGATGATAAACAAACAATCGCCAACAAAGGATACTGAAAGTGGCCATATTGAACATGCCGGATACGGTGGAGAATAAGTTTACAGGTGGCAAATGGTGCTGCCCCGGCCATCCCGAGAACCTTTGGTCCTCTCATTGCACTCCATGACACGACGAAAACAGGCTGTGCAGCGATGGTGCTGTCCCGGCCTCAGGAACTTCGCCTCCCGTGGTGGTCGCAGTCGTTGTCCTGAAGATCCCGAAACAAGTCGTTGTCCTGTGACGTTTGCCACACTCGACGCTTGCACTCTGTGGTACCAGGCAGAGATGTCTGGGTACCAACGCAAATGTTTGCCAATTTTTTGCTCATCCTTCTGCCGGTGGCCCGTGGCTTCAACATTCTCAAAACCCTTCTACACCTGGGTACTAGTAACAAGTGCATTGCTACTAGTAACACGGGCATTACAAGAAGCTAAAAGTAACAAGGGCATCGCTACTAGTTACAAGGTAGTGTATGTTTGAAAGGTTTGAGAATTTGGTTTCTCTGAACTTGGCCCCGAACTCTCCAGAATCCTTAGTCACCGAGCACAGCTGTCAAAAGGAGGAACTAGCTCTTGACAAGACAAGGAACATAACGTAACATCTTGCCCGTGATTGCTTTTCACACATAGCCCTGCCAGGCTTGCCATTTTAGCATATTTTAGCTATTCATCAAATGATTCGCTCATGAAAAACCCAGGCTTTTTAATCTTTCGACCTACGAGGGCTGTCATCCGAGCTTGCTGCATCAAATGCCGGGTGGTACATCAAAACAGCGCAGTGTGCACAGTAGGGAGTGATTCAATTCCCTGATACCTTCCGATTTCCAAACACAATTGCCAGGCTTTGACACGCAACATCAAAGTGACGGGAATTGCATCTAAATCAGGGCGCTTGCTACCTCAGACACATAGAGCCGGAGGGAGACAAACGGGCCCGAGCTACATTCACCCTGCCCTCAGGACATCTATTGGCAGCCAGCCACCATCGTCTTTACTTTTGTCCATATGCCAACCTTGGCTCAAGTGTCAGAGGCTGGTGTGAGTTGTGGAAAACGGCGTTTTACCCGATTCTAGTAGCGTCGCGACTAGTAACAAGTGTAGTAGCAAGAAGCTACTACCACTGGAAAACGAATGGCCCTTCTTTCAATTTCGCGAAAGGTATGCTTTGGGTCACATCTGGCCACGGAGGAACCCTTCACCGGTCAAGTGGTCACCAGTCGTGGATCTCTCACCAGAAACTCTCCTCGCGAGCCGAACGAAACTGACACCCTAAGCAGTCCACATCCGAAGAGAAAGCCTGAGTGAAACTTAATGAGCCTGGAAACTCTGATCTGAACCCAGCTCAAATAATGTATCACTGCCCAAGATCCCCAAGTAAATCACAAAGTGAGACGGATGAAAGGAGAGACACCCAGGGTGAAGCCGTCTTTGACTCTTATGCACCTGAATTGAAGTCTTTCTTATTTGTTTCTATTCGCGATGGCCTCCAACCTACTAGCAATGGCCTCCACCCTATGAGCGATGGCACAATGAAGTATAGTTTTAAGTGTGCGAATGGTTCTCTAACATCCTTTTTGCCTTAATGAGTCTTAAAGATACCCCTAGACCGGAAGTATCTTTGGGCGTCCAAAGGACGGACCCGGACGAACCCGGAGGTTGCTCTTCAAGGCCTGAGGCCTACGGCCGTAGCGGCCTCTGGAGAAGCAAGTGAATCGAACAAAAGGAACATGTAAAACCACGGAAAAGACACAACAAAAAGGATCCAAGAAGGTTCTAAGAAGGGTCTAAAGGTCAAAAGAAAGATGGAAAGAAAGGCTGCTTTAGACACGAATTCTTTGCGTTTGTAAGGGGTGACTCCAGTTTGCAGCCAAAACACCGAACACATAGTCACACTTGTAGGTGTTGCGTTCCTGTCGCTCTTGATGTTTCACTCTGGTGTGCTTCCAAAGGTTTTCTGCACTTGCAGCTTTGCACCTTCAATTGCCTCAAAAACCACTTGTGGCCTTCCCTCTTCAAAAAGGAAAGGCCGCTTTTCTCTGCGGTTTCCCTGCGTTTTACATTCTCAATGTGTGCTTGAATCGAGCCTCAGCACTGGTTCTGGTTGACAACAAGACCTGCACAGTCTGTCCACGAGCCACGGCTAAGTAGCCCAGCTCAGGCTCCTTGGCATCATACCTAAAGTCTCAGAGCTTCACGAAAGAACAAAAGCGGTTTTTGTGTGTTGCCTTTGTCGTGCCTTTCTCGTTTCTGTGTGCTTTCTCCCTTCAAGACTTTTGCATTTCGCTTCTACTACCCAAAGTTGTGGTCAGCACTAGGACAACCAAAGAATCCAAACATGGTCCAACACCCTTCCAATCAACTGGAGAGACACACAGAGACATACACATCGACAAAGGAGGTGAACGGATCCCCATTGGATACGCAGCTTCGGACAAGCGGCTCAATCGCCACATACATTTGCAGGGGATCGGTGCTGGTCTCCACATGAGGTTCGCGTCGAACCTTCAACCATAGCTTTCGTTCAGTGTGCAGAAGCGACTTCCTTGGGAAGGACAATTCAGAGGAGCAAAGGGCATCGCTATGAACGGAGCGATCGGACGCTACGTTCGGGGCTCCTGGCCTTACTAATAGGAGCAATGTTCGCTACTGGTGTCAAGAAGAGAAAGGACATTAAAAGTTAAAGAGAGAAAAGAAAGAAACCTACTAGCGATGGCCTCCACCCTCGTAGCGAGGAACCATGCGATTCATGGAACTGCAACCACAAAACACGCACCCAGAAATACATTCGCAGAAAACAAGGGGGCAAAGGCCCTGAAGTGAAATCTCATCATTCAATTTTGAAACGACCGGAATTTGTGAAACTGCTGTTGAGATGTGTTGAGGGTCTAGTAACAAGTGCATCGCTACTAGTAACAAGTGCCTTACTAGTAGTAACAAGAAGCTACTAGTAACAAGTGCATCGCTTCTAGTAACAGGTTCCCAGTCGTACATCCCAACACTCTACTTTGATGCAAAGTCTCACAACCATCGCTACTAGGAGCAAGGACGCTACTAGGGGCTCCTGGCATCGCTACTAGGAGCAAGGACGCTACAAGTAACAATAAAGAAGCAGTCTCAACAGCCACAGCATTGGCCCTACATTTTTTTTGGATACTGGTACACCTGAGGTCTGCAAGAACGGGGCAATAAACACGACACCAACCCGCTTGGTTACAATCGAACAGAAGCGGCATTAAAACTTCGTTGACCTCAAGGTCTGCCCACAAAGCCTTGACCCGAGCCATCCCAGTCGCATCTCCGTCTCATCAGTCTTTCCATTCACGGATACGATGAAATCGCCTCAGCAAATCAGAAATGGAAGGATCGTGTTCCTATCTTGTGTTTGGTTCCTCTGGATGAGCACATTCTGGCAGTGTCAACTTCACCCTTTCACTAAAGAATGTGACATGCTGCTCTTTGCAGTTCCAGCCTGGAAGTACCAGTTGCTCTTGCGTTTCCAGGTTCGGGTATTTGCGTGTCACCTGGGAAAGCACATGCGAAGGGAAAAGACACTAGGAAGCTTGGCTGTGCGGAAAAAGTGTCAGACTACGATATCAAGACATGAAATAGTTTCGTAACGTGTGAGAAGTAATTCAGCAAAATAAGGTAACCGGCGCGGAGGCTTGAAATAAACGGTTTAGCTGAAGCATACTGGAGCTGCAACCCCTTTGCAGCTAGTAAGTGTGTTGAGGAAGAGTTGCAGAATTCAACATGGAGCATTGGCCTTTTTCCCTGTTGAACTCTTACAAGTATGCAGCCCCTCCTCTTCATTCTTCGTGGACATGGATAGACTCAGCAGTTGGACATCCAGGGCCAGCCACCATATCAGTGGCATGACATCCGTCGTTTGCTTCCGGAATATCAGAACACCTTTTAGGTTGGAGGCCATCCTTACTTGTCACTGCACTTGCTCGCATGTCCCTTGTGAGCTGTGGACCAAAACTTCCCCTTGCCCTCCGCCATCTGCCTGATTCACCCGCTCGATCACTCCGGACACGCCAAGCACTTTGTAGTTCTTGAAGCACCCATCTTCCAAGGCGTGGATCGGCATCGTTTTTAATCCCACCTGAAGATCGAGCCGAAAAGAGGCGGGCTCTTTTTGTCCCTTGCTACATCATGCTGATGCTTGGTAGCATCATCCTCTGCCAAACACGGTGGCTCCCAACCCCCAACTACAAGGGTGTAAACACCCAAAGGAGAGCAACATTGAACACACATATACCCTTGAAGTCATTTACCTTTTTCTACCGGGGGCCATCCCCAGTGCATTGAAAAAACACCTCGAAAACAATTGTCAAAGCCTTAGGTTTGTGCAAATGTCAAAGCGTCAATTATCACAGGACCCATGGGTCATCTTGCTTAGATTCTCCACTTCACGGTGGACGCTACGAACGGAGCAAAGGGCATCGCTACTAGGAGCAAGGTTGCTACTAGGGGCTCCTGGCCTTACTACTAGGAGCAATGACGCTACTAGGAGCTAATTACAGTCACACAGTCACAGCTGCATGGGATCCTGCATCTGTTCTCTCAAAGTAAGATCGGATGTGAGTTGGGAATGCATGCACTTGATGAATCGCCTTCCCCTTTCCCCGTCCTGTCACATTTAACAGGAGGCAATCGCTAGTAGGTTGGAGGCCATCACTATTAGGGTGAAGGCCATGGCTAGTAGGTGTCTTTTTGTTCCTCTCCTTTATTTTTTTATGCTTTTCTGTTGTTTTTGGAGTCATTCACATGTCTTGCCGAGTGACCAGTTCGCCGTCCCTCCGCCGCAAGGACACCATGAACTCGATGCTTTCATCTGGAGACATGGCGTTCCCCGCGAGTGCAACGTGCCTTTCTATGGAACAACGCCTTTCTGCAATAAGCCCCTCTGGGATGCTGACCTCTGGATTCTAGGTAGTTTCAACCGCAAAACATTCGATCCTTGTTTGACTCTACAGTGAATCAATAGCTTGACGTGATTAGGGCCAGGGGAAGTGTCCAAAGGATGCCCTCAAGGTTTCATGCCACCCTTCGCACTGCGCGATTGAGATGATCAATTGGAATCCGCTGCGTTTGACTTGATCAGTGATCTAGAGCCCATGCTGCAGTCTCCGGTCCAAAGAGTTGCCCCGGCGTGCTAAGGGTCATTACGAGCGATGGCACCTATTACTAGCGATGGCTTCCAACCTACTAGCGATGGCCTTCACCCTAGTAGCAAATCTATAGACCTGTAGCGCAATAAACTACATGGCCATACTACTAGGAACATGGACGCTACTAGGGGCTCCTGGCATCGCTACTAGTAGCTCGTGGCCACATCACATGGAGCCACAAAGTGCCAGGCCATACATCGCTCCACACAGCGATCCGTTTCGGAGTCGAAGCCATACCTGTCAGAACCAAGTCTTGAATGGCGAAGCTTGCTATGGTACGACTAAGTAGCGTCCTCTTGCTCCTAGTAGCGAGGCACCTGTTACTACTAGTAAGGCACCTGTTACTAGTAGCGTGGCACTTGTTTCTAATAGCAAACATTGTTACTACTAGCGAGGCACTTGTTCCTAGTAGCGTCCTCTTGCTCCTAGTAGCGAGGCCCTTTGTTCCTAGTAGCGTCCATGTTCCTAGTAGCGATGCCAGGAGCCCCTAGTCGTGTCTTTGTTCCTAGTAGCCAAAGGGGATTGTGAAGAAGAGGAAGAATATCCTCGCACTAGGTCAACCTTCTTTTTCGTGTCTGCATTGGCACCCTCTACTAGGTAAACTTCCGAGATCGTTGAGACGCCCGTCGCTGGATGTTCTGTCAAGATGCCCGTTGGCAATGCTAATATTGAGAGTCACCAATAGAGGTTTCCTTTACACAGTTCCTGTAAACACTCTTGTTTTTTAAATGTATTTCATTCCATATATTCTTCACTGTTTCTCGTGTTTCACCAATTTGCCAAGCAGGGCCTTTCAGCACAGGAGACCAAACACCGCCTGAGCGAGCTGTCCGTTCCACAGCAATTCCGATTTCAACGCATTGGATTGAAACTTTTAGCCACCCAGGGCTCCTGGCATCGCTACTAGGAGCAAGGATGCTACTAGGGGCTCCTGGCCTTACTACTAGGAGCAAGAAGCCACTAGGGGCTCCTGGCATCGCTACTAGGAGCAAGGATGCTACTAGGGGCTCCTGGCCTTACTACTAGGAGCCAGGACGCTACTAGGGGCTCCTAGCCCCAGGGCAAGTCCTCCGGTGTGGCGGCCCTTTGCATTGGCTGAGTGTGCTGCCACAACTCCTCATCTCCAAATGTGGCATTGCCTGTGACACAGGAGGTGGGATTGAGGGTTTGAGGGGCAAGTGAGTCATACCGATTGCATGACATACACCTGCTGAAGCCAATAGTTGAAGCCTACCAACCTTCAGTCCATTGCCGCCTGAGATTATTTGAGATGCATCTTGGAGAAGCAATCTCTGCCCATCCAATGTCTGGGATCATTCCGAAGCAGCGTTGAGGCACCATGCTTCTGCATGCCCCAAGGAAACTTGAAAGGAACAGTGAGTTCCCTTTTTCCCTTCGTCAAGTTCTTTCGCTACAATCAATTTGGTCCGATTACAAACCATGTAGCAAACTCCATAAGACGTTCCCTCAATCCGTTTGGTTTGGACCTCAGTTTCTTTTCTTCACCAATCGTTCCATGCCTCCTGGAAAGAAGTCCTCCAAGCTCAACTCATCCACATTGTACTGGAACCGTGACCTGAATCAAAGCATCAACAGCCTCCACCCTAGGCCCTAGTAGCTTCTTGTTATAGTAATAGTCCTTGCTCCTAGTAGCGATGCCAGGAGCCCCTAGTAGCTTCTTGCTCCTAGTAGTAAGGCCAGGAGCCCCTAGTAGCTTCTTGGTACTAATAGCGATGGCCTCCAACCTAAGTGCGATGGCCTCCACCAACGACAGTTCTTTCCATCAAGAGTAAGCGATGGAAGCAAAGCACCAAGAGTCTTTCCGGGTAACAGCAGCGCAACACACTCTGTGCAAGCGACTTTTTGCAGTCAGTCACCAAAGAACCTTGCCTCATTCCAGTCATCCAGCCATCATCGCAAAGGCAAAGCCCTTCTGAACTGCACCTGAAACGAGAGGTGTAAGGCGGTTCTACGTATACTGCACGCAGGCAACAAACGGAATGACCCCACGTATGAAGGGCATCATTAGAAGCAAGAGCTACTAGCAATGAATCTATTCGCATTTGGAGCATGCGCCTGCCATGATAGGAGCATGTCTCCTCCTCTGTGCAGTAGACATCACATGTTCCTGGCGGAAAGGCGGAGGGACTTCCGGAGGACCAATGGGTTTTTCAGTGGAGCATGGGGAGTCCACAATTGACCGAACATCCACTTTCTCTTGCGAGGAAGTGTCGGAGTTCAGCAGCCCCAAGGCGTGGTGATGAGAACCACTTGAACGGACATGATCGTCATGCTGACCCTGATCCATTTCTCCTCAAACTAGTAACCAAAAGCTACTAGGGGCTCCTGGCCTTACTACTAGGAGCAAGGACGCTACTAGGGGCTCCTGCCTAAGGGAAACCAATTCGCATCACAGCGATCACAGTTCTCGCCCGCCCAACCTTAGAGGGGCACAAAAGCTGCTCATGCCCACGTGAGATCTGAACGTCTGAATAAGCTGATCTACGTTACAAATTTATTACGTTACAACCTCTTAGAACTGAAACACGATCCTCTATGAGGACTTTGCTCTCAGGGGTGAGGGTGATGAAAGTGAGGTGAGGTGGATGGCTTATCAACATGTTCTCGCTGGCATGCCTGCATCCGCAACATCTGCGATGTGGTAGGAGGAATGCAAATGAGATTGAAATGGCCAGAAAGTTGTGGTCCTGAACCAGTTTGTCAGCTTTGTATGAGTTTCCTCAAGGAATCATCAGTTGAACATTGGAAGTGGATGGGAGACCCTTCGGCAGCTGTGCCAGGCTCTGCCCCCTGGGGATCACCACCGCTATCGCACTCACAAATGCCATAGTCGTTGCAACGCCCGTGGGAGTTGCAGGTGGTGGAGTCCATACCTGAACTCGTGAGACCAGTGTGGAAGAGATGAAATGTCAGAACACTTGTTACTACTAGTAAGGCACTTGTTACTAGAAGCGATGCACTTGTTCCTAGTAGCTTCTTGTTCCTAGTAGTAATGCACTTGTTACTACTAGCTTCTTGTTACTACTAGTAAGGCCAGGAGCCCCTAGTAGCGTCCTTGCTCCTAGTAGTAAGGCACCTGTTACTAGTAGCTTCTTGTTACTACTTGTTTTCAGTTACAAATCTTTTGCACTTCTTGCTGAAATGACCAAAGCTGCATAAAACCGCTTGCCATGCTGGGTTCTGTGCAGAACGTTGTGCAAGACGGTGAAGCAACCGATGGCGAGGGGAAAAAAACCTCGCGGCGCCAAAAACACAAAGGAATGCCGGGAAAGCCTTGGTCGCAGAAAAGGGGTTCTTGGCTCACACACGGCAAGGGGTAATGCGTGTACATGGCACAAATAACATGCTTTGTGGCTGTGAACAACTGGCTACACGTATGCCGTATGCTGTTGCGGTCTTAATTGCGATTACTACTGACCAGAAAGCTTTTACAAGTCGAGGGATACCAACAATGGCCTTGGTCCGAAATCCGTGCGGCATCTCGTGCAAACCCGGCCAGTGCCATGCTAGTAGTAACAAGTGCCTTACTACTAGGAACAGGTGCTTTACTAGTAGTAACAAGAAGCTATTAGAAGCTATAATTGTTTCTACTAGCTTCTTGTTACTACTAGTAAGGCACCTGTTCCTAGTAGCGCGGCACCTGTTCCTAGTGCAAACCCGGCCAGTGCCATGCCGCCTTCAGAACATCTTTCGCAGTCCATGCCGCCCCAGCCGTAGTGACACACGCAAAGCCCATCACCAGTGCGCCTGGCTGAGTAAACAACATAGTTGCAACCCGTTACGATCGTGCTCGCTAGTCACTAGTCCAAAGGTGAACACCTCTTGTGCAGCTTCAACTCTCTGTAAGACCCTATACCCAATCGTTTGGAGTTGAGCCTTGCCTAACATCTTGACACTTGTTCTCGCTTCCTGGGTGCAGCACCCCTCCCTGCAGTAGTGCGTCCCAGGGTAAGTGCACGTACACCTTGCAAGGTTCACAAGCGGGTGCACGGATGTCTCTTGGTTCTTGCTCCGTTCGTAGCGATGCCCTATGTTCCTGGTAGCTTCTTGTTACTAGTAGTAAGGCCAGGATGCCCGTAGTAGCGTCCCATGCACGCATGTCTCTTGGTTCATTCAATCACATTCCAAGACATATGCACTGCTCGGGTGTTCTTGTGGTGCTCGTACATGTTCTTTCTGCATGCTCCACTTGTCAACTCACCGGGCTTCAGACTGCATGCTGCACTCACTGCGGAATCCAGCACCCAAGGGCAGCTGGATATTGCAATCTGCAAATCAGCAAAGTGCCCAAGATGATACTTGTGTCATTGATCTGGCTACTAAGTAGCAAAGAAATTGTCCTCTCGTCTTCCATTTTGAGCTCTGTTTCAATTGACTAAATCTGCGATACTTATGTCCAAATGGTAGAGAGTTGGGTCAAAGAGGGAGCACTCAAGTCTTCCGGCGATAGACTTGGTTTAAAAAAACAGAGATCTTGCAAGACCTGTTCCGTTGTCGACCCCCAAACTCTCACAACACCAAGGTCTTTCTGAACAAAGAAACAAACTCTCCTAGCTTTCGTCCAACAAAGAAACTCTTCCAGTTCTACCAGTCCATCTGGACCCACGTCTGTGGATCTCTCAACTGATCAGCTCCTCTGGGGCCTTATCAGAAATAAGTTGAATTTGACTGAACTACCATCTAAAAAAGAAAAACACAATCGGGCAAAG